ACTGTAGACACAGGGTGCAGAAGAGGTAAGGGGGGTGGATGCCGCCTCACGACAGGCAGCCCCCAGTGTGCTTCCTATGGACCTGGAGCTCTCACTTCCACCTAGACAGCAGGCACCCCCATGACCCCCACTGAGCAGAAAGTGAAGTCCAGAGGGTGCAGACCAGCCGTGGAAGTGCTGGCGCCCACAGGTGACCCCAGCCCCTCCCAGCTGGCCAGCTGCCTGCCTGCCCTGTCCCCGGTCTTGCTGCTCAGGAGCCGGCAGAGGCCCAGCACTGGGTATGTCCCCACGGGGGATCTGGCAGACAGGCCAGCCAGCCAGACATCCCTTGAGGGAGTGCTGTGGCCATAGGCAGTGAGGAAGAACCCTGGCCAAGCAGCCACCTGGCTGGGCCATGGGGCAGACAGCAGCCAGTCCACGCCCAGGAGGCTGCCTAATGAGCCCCACACAATTTTTCACCCCATATTTTTCCAATAAAAAAGCAGTTAGACACCAACCGCAGCCTTGCAGAGGGGCCATCTGGCTGCCTGGCAGCACAGGCTGCCTTCCCCGCCAGCAGCCAGCGCCTGGAGCAGGGCCAAGGTGGTGGGGAAGGCCAGGTTGGGGGGGGCCTGCAGAGCCAGGCATGGGGCATGCATGGAGCAGAGCCTGGTCTATCAGGAGGGGCGGGGGGTAGCCACTCGCAGGGGGAGGAGACAGAGAGGTCTTCCTGTCTGTGAGCACCAGCCTCTGGTCTCTATGTGTCTGTGTCTTGGATGTGGACCGTCCCCAGTGTCTGCGCCTAGAGCCAGGGGCAGCAGGACCCCCAGGAGGTGCAGGTGCATCTGACCTCAGGCCCTGGCAGATGGAGGAGGAGACCAGCTGGAACAGAGAGCCTGGGTCTCCCTGCTGCCCTGTCCCAGAGGGGACCTTCCCAGGGGCAGCCTGCCTGCCACGCTTTCCCCAGGGCCCAGCACATGTGTTGGGTCAGCATGGACAGACCCAGGGCTCTACGCTGCAGCTTTTCACCCTCCTGCCCGGCCTGCCTGTCCAGCTGCCTCACCAGAGGCCCAGAGTAGCCAGGATGTCTCCTGTCCTGCTGTCTCCAGGCCTCTGCGCAGCAAGGGACATGACAAGTGCAAAGCATTCCAACCTCATGTGGTGCACGAATACCCCAGGGCAGGGCTGACGAGGGTCTAAAAGGCACCCTCTGGCTGGGCCCCAGGTGAGGGCATGCTGCAGGGGGACGCCCCTCTCTTTCACTGACACGTTCTTAAAGCCCTATTAAGTCAGGGTTTTGCCATCCTGCAAATACCGTGGAGACACTGGGCCATCCTCCCCTGACCAGCTCCTCCTGGAAGGAGTGAAGGACCTCATGTGACCGTGCCCCGGAGAAAGGTGGTAGGTGCTGCGGGGGGGCAGAGGCTCCTGGGAGGTGGTCCTGGAGCGAGGGCAGCTCTGGGCGTGTGGGTACGGCACCCTTCTGAGCTGCACCTGCTTCTTGATGGGTGGGCAGGAAATCACCCATCACCCTGGAGCCCAGCCTAGGAAAGGGAGGGAACCCCACATGGCGTATCATTAGTGTCCCCATGCAGCCTGGAGGGACAGGGGGCTCTTGGGATCGTGGTTCCCCACTGCCCTTGGGACAAACCTCAGCTGCATGCCATGATTCACGTAATGTGATCTCGCTGAACACATGCTCATACCTTCCTCTCTCACTCTGCTCCGGCCCCACTGGACATTTTGCACCAACAGTATTCCTGCCTCACCAGGCAGGTGATCAGTCACTCTGCATGATCAGTGTTGTGGGGAGGTGAGATGCATATGAGGTGGCTGGTGCTAATAGCTGCCTTCATGGGCCAAGGGGGCGAGGAAGGAAGCTACATACCAAGGATGGCCAAGCAGAAAGACAGGAACCTGATGACCATGGACATGCCATGCCAGCCTGGAGGGCCCACACCTAGGCTTCCAGGTGAAGAATACAAGCTCCTCTATTAAGCCACTGCTAATCCAGTTTCCACTATAGCAGCCAAATGCAGTTCCCAACCAACGTGGGGCCGTGTGGTACCTTGGAGGCCAGGACTGAGGACTGGGCATTGACTGCGCTGGCAGTATGGGTCTCTGCCTCAGATGGGGCCAGATTTGTGAGCAGATGAGAGGCAGTGAGGGCAGGGTGGCCAGCTACAGCATCCAGACCTGCAGCCCATGCAGCCACACAGAGCCTGGTGAGGCACAATGGCCCCAGCAGGGCTGACCAGACCCAACCCCTCCCAGGGGTGGAAATACGGAGATGCATCCAAGTGGCTGACAAATTATCCTGCACAGAGCCCTTGCTCCAGGCGGCCTCTCTGGGAAGCACTGAGACCTCTCCACAATCCCCACAATCATGCAGCTTTGGGGCTCAGCCCAAGCACCCACTGCCCAGCCCATGCTACACCATGGTCAGTTGTGTGGAGTCTCAGCCCTGGCCTCTGGCCTCCATCCCAGCTGCCCAGGGACATACCCTACTGTCACAGAAGACCCAGGTACTCATGGGAGAGGCAAACTCAGGTGACCACGGAGGAAGCCTGTGCCCTTTTCCCTAGCTCTCCAGCCAAGGGGCTTTCTGAAGCACAGTCCAGCTCTATCTGACTTCAAGGGAATGTCTGCCCACAAACAGCAGCTTGCCAACTCTGTGTTAACTGACCCAGAGCTCTCCATAGCCCTAAAACGGGTCTCCATCTCCCATGAAAGAGGTGGGGGTACTGGGGCATGGAGGCAGTTCTGTGTCCTCCTCTGGCCCTGGCCACACTAAAGCTGGGATGGGGGTGGCATGGCCTCCCACCTGCCCCACCATGGAGCCAGGATGTGGCACCATATCGCCAGTGCAGACTTCTCATTGTGGCCACACCGGGGGCCCAGCACACAGGTGTGGGGAAGGCTGACTCCTCACAGCCAGTATCACTCCCCTAAGACCCACAGCCACAAGCCCTGGAGGTGGCCTGAAGGGGGTCTGGGCCCCGTGGGTCTGGGTCTGCCTCTGGCACAGCAGAGAAGTGAGCCCCAACATAGCCCCTAGCCAGTTCCTCTGGGCAGGAGTTTCTCCCTTGGGCTGCACAGGGAATTGCCAGGAAAACAAGACTCATGAGTTCTAGACCCCACCCCCTACCCATCCAGAGTGAGCTCCTCTGCCCACACCTGCTCTCCCCCGTCCCTTGGCCAGGCTGAGCTGGGCTGGTGCTCAAGTGTCACTCAGGACTGGCCTATGGGCTCCCCAGTGGGTGTGAGTGCAAAGGAGGCCACAGCTACAGCCTCCTGCTAGCCCTTGGTGGTGGCCTGTCCAGGACATCGATGGCCACGTCAGAAGTGACCTCTTGTCCCTGGGGCACAGTCAGAGCTGCGCCCAAGTGCCTGCCCTTTCCCGCCCCCGGGTCTCCACCACCCAGAGTCCCCACTCTTGTAGCAGGAGTAGGCTGAGAGGGAGACGGAGATATCGGCCAGGGCCAATAGTGACCAAGGGCCCAGGCCAAGCTGGGCCCCGGAGCTCCTGGAGGGCTGGGGTCGACCCTCTGGCTACCGGAGAGGAGGAGGCAGTGGCTCTGGGTGGGGTGTGTGTGACCTGGCAGCTGTGTCAGGACTCTGACACCTGGAAGGAAGCAGCTTGGGGGTAGCAGCTCAGTTTCTTCTGTGGAAGCCAGGGGCCCTGGGTGGGGACAGCCAGCAGTCTCAGGGCCTCAGAAAGCCCTTCCTCTGAGCCTCCCTCAGAGCAGCCCCTGGCTCCAGAGAGCACTTTCTGCAAGGTGATTCTAGATAAAGGAGGTGCCGGAAGCGAGGTGTCAGCTCAGCACCTTCCAGAGGCCCTTCATCTAATTCCTCAGAGAGGCTGAGGACAGGCCCCAGAGATGCTGGGAGTGCCCGCTAAGCTCCTCTGCCCCAGGATCCAGACAGGGGCATTCATTCCCAGCTGCCTGCCCTTCAGCCACTGTTCCCAAATGATCCAGACCCCCGTAAGGACCCCATGTAGGACTTGTGGGCTGGCTTCCTGTCCACTTCCCACCAACCTGGCTCCCAGGCTGGTCTCCCGGGCCCCCGGGCAGTCTCCACACACCCGTCCCGCCTGGCGGCTTACCAGCTCTTTCCATACTTACTCATGTCTGCTGAGAGAGGCCACCTGGCTGTCCATGCCGTGGACAGCGCCTGCCCAATGCTAAGCGGGAACCATTGTCACGCACGGCACAGAGGTCCCAATGGGACTTCATTCCATTTCACAAAACAGGCCTAAAAGCCAGTGCTCAGCTGACCCTTTGGTCCTCCCAAAAGCACGCTGGGACACCCTGTCCCCATGGGCGGATACTGGACCTCCTCACCCACTCAGCACTCCTCTTGGCCTGCCGGCCCCCCGACCAGGGCATGGCCATTGCCTATAGCCACATCACCAACTACCACTCTTCCCAGCTGGGCTGGTCACTTATTCAGGGGACAGCAGCCAGCCTGCCTGGGGTCCAGCTATGTGACCTCGGGCAGGATCCTTACCCTCTCTATGCCTTGGTATCCCAGGATACGTTGGGGAGTCACAGTCCCTGCCCCCCAGGGCCTTGGAGCAAGCAGAGTACCAGGCCTGGGCCCAGGCGTCTCGCCCCTACGGCGTCTTGCCTGCTCAGAGCTCAGCACACAGCAAGTGCTCTGTGGACAGCCGCTGGGCCGAGAGGTCGGGGTGGCCTCCTCCCTGCTCCCCACAGGACATTCAGGGGCCGGTAGTGACCAGGGCCCTGGGGAGGCCCACTCTGGGCTTTCTTCTGAGCTAAACTCTCCAGGAGCCGTGTAAATCCCGAGTTAATGGGAACTTCGTTACTCCTGAAAAGGAGTGTAATTCGGAGGTGCTAACACGCTACCCCTATTAGCAGAAATCTGTTCTGGTGATGTTTATGGCACCCACTCTGCCCTCAGCACCCCCACCCCAGGATGCCCAGGCAGAGACGGGGCCTGGACCAATCCTGCACTCCCATGGATGAAGGTCTCGGGAGGAGGTGTGGAGGGCTTACCTTGTCGTCCCCTTCACTCTCGCTGTCACACTGTAGGGGGAGAGAGACAGAGAGTCAGCACCCTGCAGTACCCCATGGCGGGGCAGGGGTCATGGGAGGAGCCTCGCGGGGTGAGAGGGATCTGGAGGCCGGCGAGGCCCTGGGTGAGGGTTCCCCACAAAGCCCCCCCCTCCTCACCCCAGGCTACACGTGAGGCAGCTTCACCCGCCCAGCCCCCCAGCCCCCCAGTCCTGGGACAGAGCTGCTACCCTGTGACCCTCTCAGGCCTCCTCCCACATGCTGGACTCTGCAGGTGGGAGGTCAGTGGAGACAGGTGAGGAGCTGGCGCTCCTGGGCAGTGGAGACACACCACAGTCCACATGCCCACAGATGGGGAAGCCCAGCCTCAGCAGCCCCAGCTCTACTGAGGGGGGCACCCAGATCACTCGGACAGACGAGGTGGTCAGGCCAGGCCTGTGGCCACAGCACCGCCCTTGAGAGGGCCACCGCCTCCCCATGCCTCGTGTGCCCCTACAGTCTGGGTATGAACCCCTGGGCATGTTAGCTCAGCTGGTTAAAGAAGGGTTGGTAATTGTGCAAACAGATCTTTGTTTCCATTTTCAGTAAGCAGAGCTTTAAAAAGAAAGGCTGCTCTTCTAGAAACCACGGCAATTTTCCCCCTAAAAGAATATAAAGAAAAATAATCCCTTCCTAGCAACCACAATTACTATCTGTCGTGTCAAATGAATTCTGCCACTGAAAATAATCTCCTGGGCCACACATGAGGGTGACGGGCCCCGTCAGCCCCGATGCTGCTGGTTAGTGCAGGGAAGGGGTGCTCTGCCCTGGCACTGCAGTGTGAGGGCAGGGTGCGCTTGGTGGCAAGGTTCATGGAGTTGTACAGATGTGCCCCTTGCTTTCCCCACCCCACTGCAGCTGGAAGTGACCCTGGGTGATGGGGTGGCAAGATTCCTACCCCCTCAGCCCCATGGACCCCAGGGAGTGGTATCCTTTTACAGATGGCAGAGGGGACGCGTGGGTGCACACAGTCCTGACCGCACAACAGTTAAGAGCTCCGAGGGGCAGGGAGAGGGCAGAGTGGCTGAAGCCCAGGATGGGAGTGTTCAAGACGAGGCTGGAGGGGTGAGGGGCCGGGAGTGTCATCGTCCTGTCCTGCCGAGCTGGGACAGAGCTCGGCCAGGGGGGCCTGGGCATGCCAGCGTCTGTGTGCAGGCAGAGAGGGGTGGGAGCCCTGGAGGGGAACCGTGGGGGTCAAGAGCCCCTGTGACACTGCAACTTTCTGCCTGATCCGTGGCACGGAGCACTTGCTGGGAGGCTGGGCCTTGTGTGTGAGCTGCAGGACCGCAGCTAGGGGTGCCCGGGACCTCCCAGCCTGGCTGTTTCACACCTCTCCCCACAGCTTAATGACCCACCAATTGAGGTTGAGGGAGGGTGCTTTCCAGGAGTGCATGGGCCCTATAATTAACCCAACCGCACACCCTGTCAGCCAGCACAAGGCCATGTCGTAAATGAATTCACGTTATTAAGTCCTACTGAATTAATGTTTAACTGCAATAGAGCCAGAACTGAATGAGGCAATTAATCAGGACAAGGAGGGAAAAAGAGCCACATCTGTCTTGCAGGAGCTGCTTGAGCGAGGTGACCTTCACAGGGTAGAACTGGACTGGGTGGCCCTGGTGGGTGTAACCCTGAGGGGGGCGTGCAGGGAAAGCAGGGAGTCCATGGAGCAGAGGCTGACTCCAACCCCCAAGGAGCAGTGCTGACTACAGTGGGGAGGCCAAGACATGGGCAAATCCCTTGACCTCTCCATGCCTCAGTTTACTTCTGCAAAACACAGACAAAAACCTACCTACAGAGTGTTGTGCAGCTTCAGTGAGTATGAATATGTGCAAAGCACTAGGACAGTGCTGGGTAAATACTCAGCATGATATACAGCACGACGATAACTTCATCACCATCATTGCTGCCACCATCACATTATCACTATTATCATCAATACCATCATCACTATCACCATCCGCACCATCACCATCCTTACCCTCACCACCTGCCTCAGCCTCTTCCTTCATATCACTTGAACAGCTCTTGGAGGCATCTAGCCCCCTAAATGGTCTGGACACAGACGCCTCTCACCTGACAGTGCCTTGCTCCCCAAGGAGCACCCGCACAGGTTGTCTGGGGTCTTGGCCTCTATCCCCAGGCCTCTTCCAGAAACCTGGGCAGCTACTTGCTTGGGTGGGGGGGCTGCTTGTCACCCTCCAGAATTGGGAGACACAAATCAACACGGTCGTGGAGCAGCAAGAGAAATGTACCTGTTTCTTCTCTCAGTGTGAACGTTAATTACTGCTTCACGGCAGACCTTATAGCAAGGCTTCCCGTCTCCCATTTTTCAAACAAAGGCATGAAAAATTCATGGGCTGAGCGTCCCTGACACTGAGCCCACTGCTCCCATCAGATGCTCCATCGAGCCCCTGGGTCTGGCCCAGAGATCCCCACAAAGAATGGGGAGGAGAGGCAGGGAGCAGGGGCAGGGGCCTCTTGCTCTCTGTGGGACCTCCTCATGCCATGGAGACAGGCACTGAAAGCCACTCCTGGCTCTGCTTCTGCCTCCCCCCAGCTTCCCACCCAGGTGACCCCACTCAGAACAGGGGTCAGAGAGGGCTGAAAGGTGGTGGCACATGGCCTGGTGCTCGGGACTGGGCCAGCTTTCTGCTCTAGCCACAGTGCACAATCTGGGATGCTGCCTACAGAGGCCCTGCTTACAGAGCTGCCCAGAGACCAAGGAGGACTGGACTTCTCACCAGCTTGAGACTTACTCTTGAAGGACATTGCTGCCTGCAAAGGCCTGAGCAGATGCAAACTAAAAAAATCAGCGGGGTCTATGGTCTGTGTGTGGGTAGTAGACAATGGAACATTCTATGCAGCCCACCTGAGCATGACGGTAGAAAAGTCTGAGCTGCTGGACAGTCCGTGCTGATACCACACTGCGGGCTATGTCCACATGGTTTGAAGTGTGCATATGCACTTCCTCTATACTCTGAAGACGCCCGGGGAATTTCAGGAGGCACAAATCCTCAATGTGGGCTGTTTTCATTGGGCCTATTCTCGTGGCTCATGAATGTGTGTGCAAGCCCAGCTGGCCTGTCATGTATGTGCATGTTCCAAGACATGTCACGGCATGCTCTGAGGCTTCCCTCACATGAGTATCTGGGCATCCTGTCCAATGGTGCTTTTCCCCAGGGTGTCCTGCCAAGTATCCCAATGCATGCATGGCACTGTGCACCTAGGTGACCTGATACAGGCTACCTGTCCTTATGCACATGGCGCAGGAGCACTGGCCATGCTCCCAGGACATGTCTGTGCTTCCCATGGCCCCTTGTGGGGGTCAGCTCCAGCTTATTAAAACATTCTGCTCCCTGGTGGTGCCTTGGAAGAACCTCAGGGAAGAGAGTGGCCGCCTTGCCTGCCCATGTGGGTATCTGTCCTCCACGGAGAAGGGCACGGGTCCTCACCATCCTGCTGTACATGCTCCACTGGGATATAGAACCCATGCCTGTTAAGCAAGTTGGCTAAAGCAAGGAGCCGTGAACAGACAGCAGGAAGCCCAGGGCATGTCCCTCACCATCAGCAGTCAGGCTGGGATGGCCATGTCTCACCCTCGTCACACTCCAGCTATGTACATGAGCACCACAGATGCTGGGCAGTGACCCGAGACCTCGTGGGCCGGGGTATCAGGAGCAAGGTGGGGGCTACAGTCTGGTCCGTGCCTGGGGTGGCCATGAGATCAGCTGGGTGGGTGACTGTATCTGATGGGTTGAACCACAGCTGCGAGAGCCGGGCACACTGCACAAGGTGGGAGCCGTGCCCGCCACTTCACAGACAAGAAAGTGGAGGCCCAGAAGGTGAAGGGACTTGCTGGCAGCCACGCGGCCCACAGACAGGAGCCCAGCACTAGAACCTGGGGTTTGGCTGTGCGGGCGGCAGCCCTGGGACTGCAGGGCAGGCAGGGGAGGGGAGCCCCACATCCTATTGGTGGGAGACCCAGGGCACTATGGGGGGTGGGACTGAGGGCCCATTTGCTCACTGAGGCCGCTTCTATACAACTCAGGCCCCACCACAGACCCACCTGCTTATGGATGGGGAAACTAAGGCAAAATAGGAGTCCACCTAGGGGAATGGGTGAATGAGCTCTGGAACCCAGTTTCAATCTGGCCCTTCTGGTAAGGACCTCATGCCAGGGACTCCGTCAGAGCAGTTGGGATAGGGCTGGGGCCCCAGTATGACTGTGAACAGCCCCAGGCCATGTAGGTCCAGAAAGTCACAGTGAGCCTGATTAATTATGCACGATAGCTGGATGGGGACCCTGATATTCCCATTCTTGTTTACTCAGCTAATTCACTTTTTATGAGTGTTTAGGCTTTAAAGCAAAACAAAGCACTAATTACCCAATTAGTGAGCAATTAAGTTACTGCAGCCTAATAGCCCAAGTGTGGACTGCCTAACGGGCTGATGGTGAGCGAGACCCACTTAGCAGAGCCATGCAGCTGGAGCCACGCAGGCGCACTTGGGAGGGGAAGGGCAGAGCCACGTTACTGTCGCAGATGGAGACAGTAAGGACAGATGGGGCCAAGATCTGCCCTCCCCAGCGTGCTCACTTAGAGTGGCCAGAGAGGGGTGGGGGTGCCAGCCTGTGCCCACCCTGTGTGTCTGCATCTTAGGTACAATATGGAGATCCTTGTGGGCAGTGGTTTGGAGCTCTGAGAGAGCCCTGCACAGGCCACCATACAGAGACAGGAGATGGCCCTGCAGCTGGACAGTGGGCTTGTGGGGCCCTGAGAGATGAGTGGGTTGGTGTCCCTGCCTCCTGCTCCCAGGCCTCCTCCTGCATTTTGAGTCATGGCTGAGAGCAGTCTCTGAAGGCAGCCCATGGTGACACAGCGTGGGGCCTGGGGGCAGCGTGGGACTATCCCTGAGTCCCAAGCCTGAGCTGAGGCTGGAAACACTGCAGCCTATGCACAGTCTCACATCAG